GAGAAGAAGGGTGAAAATGAATGCGTATGTATTGGTGCTCGTGGAAGAGAGGGGAAATGAGCAAATATTTGGCTCGTTTATATCTATAAAGAGAAAAGTAATTTTTATTTAAAAAATTAATTAATAATAAAATAGAATGAAAATTGAAGATGGGAGCAACAGTTGAAAATTGCAGTAGTTGAATATTTGGCAAACGTCTATGTTTCAATTAAAATAATGATTAGCTAATCATTATATGGGTACCACTGGTTTTCGCAATCAGTGGTTTAATCATGAAGTTTACTACTTACCATCATCCTATAAATTGAATTTTAGTATATTGAGATAGATAATTAAATATTAAGTGTATCGAATTATCTAAATTTCATTAAAGTTATGTTAATTGGGGTAATTAAGATCTAGCATTAATTTTGAACTTTAGGAAATTGATTATATAATTAGGTGAGATTTTTGGTCTAGGGCTAAATATACAATAATTTGAGTGTTTATAGACTCGTTAACTTATAAATTATGCATATATATTTGATAGATCGGAAAGGTTCGAAGGCATTGAGGAAAGGAAAGGCATTGGAGAAGTAGTTTACTTGACTTCTGTTCTTCAATGGAGGTACGTTATTTCTATTTGATAGATAGACTTTCAATAGCGATTGATATGTATTGAATGATATTATGAAGTTTCTTATGTACTTGATTGTGTGGTTATATAGATTGGTTGTGTGGTTTGTGGTTGGTCTAAAATCTTGAGACCCTGGAATTTACAATCTTGAACCATATCTATCGAAGTGATGCCTTGAATAAAGAAGGCTTGATGAAATAAATTAATGAGATAATTGGAGCGGAGTGTCACGTTTTGACACGGTATTATTAGAACAAAGTGTCACGTTCCTATACTATATTATTGGATTGGAGTGTCATGTTCCGACACGATATTATAAGATTAGAGTGTCACGTTCTGACACGATATATGGAATCGGAGTATCACATTTCGACACGATAACATCAAAGGAAAGGAATCTCGAATTAACTTTATATAATTATGATTGATTGTGTACCTACTATGGTGTTATTGGCAGTGGTTTATGTTGTTTGTTGTTTGCCACCTGCTAAGTATCATAGTTGATTTTATATTATTATTCAATACATATTAGTTTCTATTTTGGGTTGGCCGGTGATACCTACTCAGTACGTGTTCCTTGTACTAACCCCTACTTGTATTTTCTTTATTTTTCTTTTGTAAAGTGCAACAAGTGTACCATCGACTTCAACTCACCCTCAGCTCTAGACAATCTCCAGCACATCAGAGTTTCAGGGTAAGCTATTATTTCTAGCTCGTGCTGGATTCTCTCATTATGTCATGATATCCTTAAATTTCGGACATGGACCATCTTATTTATTTATTTTGGTATTTTCAATACTTCTAGACTTGGTAATTGAGAACAGATGTCCTTGATATGATGACTTTTAAATTTTGGGGATAATAAGTGTTAAACTTTAGATGTTTATTTAATCAGTTACTTTAATAAGTTTTAAGCTTCCGCATTACATTGGTATTCATAGTTGAATTATTGATATATGTTGGGGATTTAGATTCCTTGATTCACCCACTTAGGAGGTTAAGTGTGGGTGTCACTCACGACTCGTTTTGGGTCGTGACAGTTATGTCCCAATTTAGTTTTTTTAAAAAAATAGATTATTTGAAACTTTTAGGATTTTAATAATTTTTAAATTCATTTTTTTGTAAATAAGATTGTAAAAGTTTATATTTGGATTGTTTACAAAAATTAAAGATGTTTCATTATTATAAGTTGAATCATTATGATGAAAATAAATGTAATGGATAAAGTATTATATGAGTTATGCTCCCTCACAATTACAAGTTAGTTGAATGCAATTATATATGCATGATCAAATTTTAATTGGATAATACAAATAATTACAGTACATTTAATTGGATAATACAAATAATTACAGTACATGTCCCTTTGATCAATTTATCTTCACATTTTAATAGTTATTGAACTATATTTATTGATAATATTTCATTTTAAATTTACTTGTGATATTCAATAAACAACTGATATGACAGAGCATAAATATATTTTCTTTCGTAATTATGAATGAATATTATTGTAGCGCAAATGATTAAAGCTTAAACAAATAGTCTAAAGGTCACGAGATCAAATCTAAGTTTAGGTCCCCACTTTTAGCTATATTTTAGTTTTTTTGAAGTCTATAGGTCATGAGAAACTTTTAGTTTTTTTTCTCAGACCTATCTCATGCACCATTGAAATCTTCATGATTTTGAGACAACAAATTGTCATCCTTATCTAACCCCAAAACATTATTCAATACTTCATTTAATTGACTATTCTGATTTTTCGAATCCATCTTGTTAAATTATACTCTCTCCGTCCCATTTTATGTGGCACGATTTGACCCAGCACGAAATTTAAGAAATAAATGAAGACTTTGAATTGTTTAACAAATTTTACCTCAAAAGTGGATTCACTTTTGTCTCTCCTCATAAATGTATTAAATACTATTAAAAATTAAGTGGGACCAACAAGAATAAAAGAAAAATTGTACCTTTAAATACTTCACCATATAAGAAAATGTGACATTTTTTTGGGGACTGACCAAAAAGAAAATGGTGTCACATAAAATGATACGGAGTGAGTATAAATCTAACAACAAAATAAAATCTTGAACGTCAAATGAATCAACAAAATAAAATTAAATTGATGAGTGTGGTAAAGAAAAAAAAGTAAAGTAAGAGAGAGAGTAAATAAAAAAAATCAAGAGTATTTTTTTTCTTTTGAAGGGAAAAAACAAGTGGTTTTCAAAGTAAAAGAGTTATTTGATCTTTTATCCATATCTTGTCAATTCATGCTAAAATAGTGTCTTGCAGTTCAGCAATAGTCTAATAAATATTTATTTTGAATGATACAATGAACTAGTAAAGTGAAGGATAGAAATAATTTTCTAAATGAACCATTTCGAGGAAATTTCCAAGCATTGATTTTTAAATGTGTGATAGTGACAGCGAAAGTACCAAGAAACGCCTAACTCTTTTCTATAGCATTTACCTTTTCTACACTTTTTTTGCTCTTAAACCTTCATTTCCATTATATATAACATGTTTGAGGGGTATTTTCTTGAATAATATTCATAGTAATATAAACTCATCAATTATTTTTCACAAGATTTTCAATAGGATGGATGTAACAAGTGATGATTACTCTACAAAGCAATCTTTGAATAACAAAGATGATCTATTTCTTCCCACAGGCACAACTAGCACTCAAGATGCTTTATACAGAATTGCATTTTTGACAGCTATTGCAATTTTTCAGCTTCCATTTGAGAGGATAAAAGAAGATTTAGTACCAACTGTGATATTCACAAGAAAGCCTCTTCTCTTTCAAGGATTTGTTGTTTCTCTCATGTTTGCATTCTCAGGTTCGATGGCGTCGGAATCCATGAACGAAAAACAGCCAAAGATGGCATTATTATGTCACAAGCTGGCTATGTTTGCAGTAGCAGTTGCAGGGGGAGTATTTGCCTTGTCGAGTCTACTGTCATATTACAATATTGAGATGGTGCCTGATGTTGTGCAAACGCCGAGTTTATACGATTGAATATAAAATATATGATCTGCTTGAATAGTTGTAAGAGTTGTTCGTATAGACATATCATAATATCATAGTCAGCAACTAATAACAAATCCAAAAAAAAAAAAAGGCCAACTAATGAAACATAAAATCACTGGACAACACACATTTATTAGGGATAACCAAATAACAAACGAGTTTGAGAACAACAAAATACGGAAATAATCCAATATACAAGCAAAAGAGCAAACTAAGTTCAAAGTTTTTGTTACTAATTCTAAGGACATAAAGCCCATTTATTTGGAGAAAACAAAGGCGCAACGCAACCAAACATAGTAAAACATCTGCAAACAACACTGGTAATTGAACTAAACAACCCTCAACACACCTCCTTTACTTCGTTTCTCTTCTCTTCTTCGTTCCAGCAGTCCTGCAGAACAGATTTGGGAGATCCACAGAGGGAACTCCTAGTGAACTTCCGGTAGACAATCAAACCACCCTTACCAAGTTCTTCTGGGCTCCACTCAGCGTGAGAGTAGCCCTTAACGTCAAAAGAGCAAATGCGCTCCAGTAGCTCACAAGCAACATAATCAGCATGCAAAGCAACAGAAAATTCATCAGGCTGGAAACATGTCAGCACCCTCCTAACCAGTGACCCGAGACTCGAGGAGTTCAAATCATACCCAACTGCTTCAAAGCTAGCATAACTAAAACCATCTTCTGGTGTAACATGAATAGTAGAAAGCGCAGCTCCTTCAATAGAATTCATGGAATAACCACAAGGATCAAACTCGAAATCACATATATCAGAGTTAGGGAGGATCTTCCTTATGCCGGATCTAATAGTCATTTCAGCTGCCGAGCTTGATTCAGTCTTGTAAAAGACAGAAGCCTTCTTCCTTAACAGATTAGTCATGCACATCTCAAGAGTGTAGACAGGGTTCTTAGTCTGAATCGATCCAGCAGAGGCAGAGTAAACATGCCATTTTTGAAGATTGTCATGACTGCCCAAAATTACAGCTTTGCTGCCTGAACTAAGATTTCCAAAGTAGCTATCAAGGACCGCAACTTCTTCAGAGAAGTGACGATGAGGAAATGACTGGGCACCAGGGAAGATGAAGCTCCCACGGGTATACTTCACCGCTTGTACTTTGAGCGAAAGGGTATCAGCCAACTTCAGGATGACCGGAATTGAGAGAAGCAACTTTGTGGTACCACATGTCTTGATGACTATCTTGTAAGGATAAATGAAGAGGCTGGACTCAGAAAGGACATAGGAGTCAACACACTCATTAGAAAGAGAATCAACTATGGTGCACTCAGCAGGTCCTAGGAACTCATCCAATTGTGCTTTTGACAGTGATCGAAGTCCTTTTCCTTCGGGATCAGCAAAAAGGCCAGGCTCAAAAAATGAAATTTCAAGCCTCTTCTCATAACCTTCAAAACCAATGGCAGAAACTGGCAATGCCACCATGATGAAAAATGTTCCCAGCAACTAATGCTCCTTTAGAGGAAATTGTTCACAAACAAGGAGAGCAAATGCAGAAAGCAGTTGAAGGAGGGGAAAAAGAGTGAGGGTTTAACACGAACTAATTGAAAGAAAAAGCTTTTTTTGGGATTTTTTGTGTCAGGAGACACGTGCTAGACTAGAATAGAAGCTTAAGGAATGTCAGGAAGGTTTGCGAGCGCACTGCACATGTAAAAAACAAGAAAGTGCTAGTAATCAGAATTACAAAATTCTTAATGCTCATTTTCTGATGCTCATATCCAAAACAAACGAAATCCAGATACTTACGTTAGAGTAAGCAGCAGATCTGAACTTCTTGATTCCACCGTTTGGTCTAACGTCTTCAATACTGTAGCCAAGGGGTGCTTCATAGAGTGAGGATTTACTACTAGACTTCTTCCCACCTTTAGACTCCATTAGATCATTCACCTGAATCTGCCAATAAAACAACTAAAGCTTAACATAAAGTTTGTTTTTTTTTAGAAAGGTGATGGGATGGACAAAAGGGCAACTAAACAGCCACAACCATAAATTGCAAAAAACAGCAGACGTTTTAGTGGGACTCTAAAATGGCACGTAAAGGTTTACATAAATCCCCATGAACAACGAACTACAGAGTAGTATGACAAACAAATACCACATTAAATTGCTCACTATTTCGTAATACCAAGAGATGAAACAGGAAAAAGTAAATGAAAATTTGCTGTTTAGTAGCCATTAAAGCTAAACAGAGTTGCTGAGAGAGATAGTTGGCCAACAAAGGTTCTGCAGCAGATGTCTCGGCCTACAATCAACGAGTGAGAGGGGAAACAAAAGAGAGCAAGCACGCACATAAGTGCAGCAAACTTATGTGTGAGAAAAATGTTAATTAAGCTCAAGGTTTGGTTAAGTAAAATTCCTATCACTGTGTACCATGTACTTCTACCAGAAACCATGTGTTAAGATTAGGATAATATTCCTCACAAAGTGCAAATCATACTCATAGAAACTATTAATACTTTCCATTAAAACTTCTCAACATATAAAGCAAACATCCTTTGAACATGGCAAACAGGTCAAAGTTTATTTTCATGACAGACACAAAATGTCAAGTTAGTACGACTAGAAAGAATTTTACTTAAAGTTTACCTGCATTGGACCTAAAGAAACAAAAAGCACGACACAGCACAGCTAGTTCAAAGTATATATAATTAAAAAGAAAATCTTGCTCAAAATCTTTTAATTTGAAGATAAGTCCTCTCAATTAATATTACTAAATTCCTTCAGTATTTCTACAATCCACAAGCTCATTATCTTATTTTACTTTCTGTATTTTACTAAAAAACTCCTCCTTCAAATTATGACTATAGTAGTTCAATTTCAATATTTAAAAGCATAAAAAATGCAATAATTTGATAGCCATTCAATATTCTCAAATTATAGTCATAATTTTCTTCTATCAAATTATGACTATAGTCATTCAATTTCAATATTTAGAAGCATAAAGAATTCAATATTTTGATAGTCATTCAATATTTAGTCAAATTATAGTCATAAATACCACTCAAAAATTTAATCAATTACATTATCTACATGAAAAACTATACCAACTCCCTAAAATTCAAATCTACAAGTGCAAAATACACCAAATAATGTCCTAGAATATACACACAAGGCCTAAACATACACAACATTATATAATTTCTAAACAAAAACGCCTTAAGTGTGCATCCCACTCAAAAATTTAATCAATCAGATTATCTACATGAAAAATAACCTAAAAACTATACCGATTCCCTAAAATCAAATCTATAAGTGAAAAATACACCAAACAATATACACACAAGGCCTAAACATACACAACATTATATAATTTCTAAACAAAAACGCCTTATCGAATTAAGACGTCCCTACAGCCAAAAAATAACAATTACAATTGATATATCAATAGAAACAAATAGAATACTCACAATTATCAAAATTCTCAGATTTTTTCTGAATCTGACTTTTCTGAACAAATTAAAATCAACCTCCAAGATTATCAGATCCTACACAAACGAAACATACAAATCAGCAACAAATTCATCAACAATGTAAACCAAATATAACAAAATTTGATCGTTTTTTTAGAATACTTACAGAGAAATTACGATTGTTGAAGAAGAAAAACCAGAGATGAAACCCTAACTTGAGAGATGATTGCTGTGGAACGATTAAAGAGAAAATAATAGGATATTTATACAAACTTTGGTGACGGATTTGCCCTTGTGAATTTACGATAATTACAGTTAAACCCTCCACAGATGGGGGGTTGGGTATCAGATTCTTATCTATCCAAGTATTCATATACTATAAAGTTAATTGCATTGGATAACGATAAATTATTCGTGACGTTTCGAAAATGATTTAAATTTATTGTTTTTTATTTATTTGATTTTAATTATTTTTTATATTAGTTGACAAATTAAAATATTTTTCTTTTAATCTACAGAATTATAATTAGTTTTTTTAAGATTGAATATATCTTTTCTTTTAATAGAAATATCAGATATCATGTATGAATAATAAGTGATACTATTTCATCATGTGGACAATAGTAACATGAAACAATTAATTCATCATGAATTATTTAAATATCAATGGACGATATCTGGGATATGTTATTGTTATAGAATATAGATGATACTAATTAGTTAAGATATATTGTAGTCTTGTTAGTACGTTTTCTTAACGTATTTTTATATAAATTTATATGTCGATAAAACTATATAAGAAAATCTTATATATGATTAGTTTAAAAAGTACTTAAAATGAAATGATAAAAATTCATACAATTAATCCAACCTATTAATCCAACCTATTTCGGATTACTCAGCTTTTAATATAATTTGTATAAAATCAAATAAAATAAAATGAGAAGAATAAAATAATTATGTAAATTTTTAGTAAACCTATTTCGGATTGACTCAGCTTTTAATATAATTTGTATAAAATCAAATAAAATAGAATGAGAAGAATAAAATAATTTGTTGGCAGCAGGGTACACTCAGAGTGCTCATGATCATTCCTTTTTCATTAGAAAAGTTGAAAGTGATCTAGTCATAATATTGGTCTATGTAGATGGTCTTTTGATCACAGAAAACAGTTCTAATTTGATTCAAGAAGCCAAAGCCACTTCGAATCAGAACTTCAAGATGAAAGATTAGGGCAATCTTAGATATTTTTTAGGAATAGAAATTTTGAAATCCAAAGATGAACTCTTACTTAATCAAAGAAAGTATGTTTTGCAGCTTATTTCAGAATTTGGGATGAGTGGTGCAAAAACAGTGACCACTCCTTTAGAGTTCAATCACAAACTTACCAGTCTAGAATACGATCAACATGCTGATAGTTTTAATGATCCTGAACTAGATGATGTTAAACCTTATCAAAGGTTAAATCGGAAGTTGTTATACCTGACGATTACTAGGCCTAATATTTGTTTCAGTGTGCAAGTTTTAAGTACATCCTAAAATTTCACATTGGGAAGCAACATTAAGAGTTGTGAAATACATAAAAAGGTCTCCAGGACTTGGAGTTTTACTGAAAAGGGGAAATGAACCCTCAAAACTCACTGGATACTGTTATTCTGATTGGGCTTCATGTTCAAATACAAGGCGCTCAGTCACAGGGTACATGGTAAGACCTGGAGATTCATTGATTTCTTGAAAGTCGAAAAAACAACCGACTGTTAGTCAAAGCTCTGTTAAAGCAGAATATAGGAGTTTGACAGCTCTAGTTGTAGAGTGGTTAGCTGGTTTACTCAAGGAGCTCCGTTGTCCAGTTGATGGTCCAATATTAGTATTCACAGACAACAAAATCAACATTTCAGATAACAGAGAATATAGTGTTCCATGAGCGTAGAAAACGCATAGAAATTGATTGTCACTTTATTCGAAAGAAAGTGAAATCAAATTTTATAAGTCCTCAATATCTATGCACTACTATGCAACCTATTGATTTTGCATGTCATTTACATGTGAGTCAGATTTTCCTTTATATAGATGTGTTTGTATTCTGTAATTCTAAATTCATTTTGAAATAAAATAGTGGCCATTAGCAACAATGCAAATTTGTTCTAGAGAGTTCTCAATTCAGTTAGAATAGTTAGATTACAAAAGTTTTCAGCATCAAAGATTTGACAGATAGTGATGAAAATATTTTAAAGAGTGGAATTGACATTATTTTTTTGGTATGATCAGTCTAAAGGTGACAAAAGTTGTGTATGTATTAATGTTTAGCAGACCTTATTCTACCATAATAAGTTGTAGGATTTGATTCTTTCAAAACCCTAAATTTCTTTTATATTCTTTATATTAAGGAATTAATTTCAGAGACCTCCCTCTAGGTTTTACTCTATAACACTCACCTCCCCTGTGGTTTACAAAATTACGTTACCTTCCTTATTTCCATTTAGTTGTAACTATTCTTTAAACCTATTTAAAATATATATAAATTAATTTGGATTTGACAATTTTACCTTTATTTATGAAAATTTCTTTCATATTAATAAATATTATATAAAAAGCAACTCATTTAATTAATACTTTAAAAATAAATCATCACAAATACATGTTTTTTTATCTAAATATTAACTCTTCATCTCCATTTCACCTTTACCAATTCACATAGATTTTTTCTCTACAATAACCCATCATTTTTCGGCAACAATTTCTTCAAATAAAAGATAAAAATGAACTCCACAGGAGAGATTCGATAAGAACGATCAGATTTTGTTCTAGTTAAACATTTCCACGAGCGAAGAAGAAACATGATCCAATGAGTAGAGATAAATCATTGAGAATTAGATCTAAAATTTCATTAATAAGGATAAAATTGTCAAATTTAAATTAATTTATATTTATTTTAAATAGGTATAAATAATGGTTACAAGAAAATGAAAATAAAGGAGATAGACGTAATATTATAAATCACGGAGAATATGAGTATTATAGAGCGAAACCCGGAAGAAGGTCTCTAAAATTATCCCTTATATTAAATAAATGAAGTCAAAAGAATTTGTTTCTTAAAACAAAATATTTATGGTGAAAATTGACTTGTTTGAACAAAAACAAAAAAAATTGAAAAGGCACTTTTACCTCCCAAACACTTTTGTAACCTAATCAAATGCAAATTATTGTTCTAATATTACAGAAATAAATTACTTAATTAATTCGATGTTTTCTATTTTGGGAATGAGGACTAAAATTACAATATTACTAGTCTAATGGTTTTTACTTTGTATATTATATTAATTAATAATCTGTGCTTATGCTGCTAGCCTGCTACAAATTACAATGTCTTCAAAAATCTAATTTAAAAAACGGATTTGGGCTAACTAAATTATGAGTAACACTAATTAAAGACCTTAAATTACTATATGAAGAACCCATTGATATTATATTGAAATTTTACCTCTTCAGTGTAACACTTATCATGTCCAAAAGAAGAAGAAAATATGACAAAAGTGAGAAATTAATCAGAAAATTGTTTTTGTCAAGGAATAAAAGATATTTTTGTAATTTTATTGTTATAATGAATATAACTTCTAGTGATCATTGTGACTTCTCCAATGCATTTTTTCTCGAAATAGTCTAAAAATAGAAATATTTTTACACATCAAGCTACTTCAAATTAAGAAGATGTGAAAGCATACTTATTTCTATAATAAGGATGTATTTCAAGACGTAAAATGAAAAATTACATAATAACGTTAAAGTTATTAAAGTAAATATGTTCCTTTAAAATAAATTGCACAATAGGTGATGGTTATTGTATATGTGAAGAGTGGCGTAGACAAAAAAAATCATAAAAGGTGTCCAAAGTAAAGCCAAAGTAAAAAAAATATGTAACCATGGGGAATTGAATATCTATGGAAAATTTAAAGCAGACCACATTAAATAAGAATGTACAAAATGTTGATGCAAAGATTTGAACTCAGGTATTGTATTCACGTTGAGCACACTTTTATCATTGAGCTACAATTTATTACTATTTTCAGAGTATTCAAAATACTTAATATATCAATATAAAATATGATTTGGCCTATATATATAATGATATTTTTTGATGAATTGTGTCCAATTCGACATTCTGAAACAATCGTAGCTTCGCCTGTGATGTGAAGGATCTTCATCTTTCTCTCTATATAATAATACATATATAGAGAGAGAAAGAAGATATTTATCTTCACTCGCTACTCACCTCAATTTATATCACTATCACCATTATGGACAGAGGAAGAGTGTCATTTCGTTAAAAAATTATATTATATAATATATGATATAAAAATTAAAATTACTGTTATATTTGTTAAACTTCTTTACTAAAATTTTTGATTTGTCATATACCATCACATACCAACCATATTTCCCATTGGCAGTGATGATGACATCCGATAAGTTCAAATTACTGAGTGAGAAGTCGCTAGCAGAATACATAAAAATTATTTTTTTTCTTTTTTCAACTTTTTTATTTGTAATTTGGCTAATAACCAACAAATAATCGCTAAGTCGAATCGAATCAACATATACTTATTAATATAGGATAACCAATAAATCAAAGCATTATACATAAAAAACTTAATCAAACCCTCCAATATGAACCTAATAATATTTTATGAAAGAAAAAATTCAAAAAAAAATCAAAAGAAAAAGTATCCAACTCACCAAGCACCTAAATTTCACGGGTTCCTCTTAATATGAGACAATAATTGTCGTAATGATTTGTCATTTTCATGGGACATTTTAAAACTTATAATTGAGATTGTACTTTTAGCATTGTGTGTTGTACCTCACGTAATATCTATATACTATTATTAATAAAATAATCGATTTTGCATTACACAAAGTCATCATTCTTAATTAATAATTAAATATTTCTGAATTATTAATATCGTCACTTAATTGAGATTCTAATCAGAGTTTGTCTTTTAGTTAATCGAGGAACAAATCTCAACCAACTAGCTAAATTGGTTAATTCGTTTTATTATATTTGGAAATAATTGACATTTGATTTGTAATTTATTACAGAAAAGCTCCATAATGTTTGTTTTTAAGAATTAACCTAATTAAAGTGTAACATATGTACAATTTAATATATATAAAAAATAATTATGACTTTATACACTAACAATATAATTTAACCGCAAAGAAATTTCAGATGAAT